ATAATCAACTAATTTAACATTTAATGATTCAAAGAACAAATTTTTTGTATATATGGGGTATTGAAAATTCAAATTTTGGGGCTAGAGATATCGATAAACTTAAAGTGGAGTCATATTGAAATAAATCCGGCCAAAGAATCATTTAAATTTTTAGATAGCCGATTAACGTGAATTTTAAATTAAGGATAATATCTTCACTTGCATCAATATAAAGATAATCATTATTATAATATATATAAAGTTTTAGATTAAAATTTCAAAATAGAAATATTTTTTGAAAAATAAAATCATACCAAATAAGAGTTCAAGTCGTAGTATAAGAGTCACGTCGTAATCAAAGAATCGTTTATAACGTGTCAACCTTTGTGCTTTGCCATAAATATGAGTTATTATTTCACTTTGTGACTATTTTTAGGTTCCAATGGCACCTATGAGAATATTGCAAAAATAAAATTATCACTACAAGAATTGAGAAAATGTTAGTCTTTTTTCATGCAGTGTTTATTAATTAATATCTGACGATTATCTATAATTATTTAGAAGGTTTAAATGTTAAGGTTATTTACATATAATTCAAATAACTCAGATATCTAACGTGGTTAATGTCAAATATCAAAATGGAGTAAAACCAAATTCACTAGCTAAAAAATTTTTTATATTTTTAGATAGCCAACTAAAATGAGTTTTGAATTAAGAATATATTTTCAATTATATTATTATAAAAATAATTATTATTGAAAAATAATATTTTAGAAACTGAAATTTTAAGAAAGAAATATTTTTTAAGAGATATCAACACACCAAATAGAGTTCAAGTAGTAGCAAAAGAGTTAAGTCTTATCCAAAGAGTCATTCATTGTCTCAATACTTGATGCCATAAATATGAGTTATTATTTTGCTTTCTGACTATTTTTAGGATTCAATGACACTGGCAAGAATAGTATCAAAAAATAAAAATAGAAGAAATGGTTAATTTTTTTCATGTAGTTAATATCCAGTGATTATCTATATTTACTGAGAAAGTATAAATTTTAAGATTATTTACATACAATTCAAATAACTTAAATATTTGACATGATTAGGGACCGCGCATCCGCGCGGGTACTAATATCTATATATATATTAAAGCAAAGAAGTTTGCCTTCTCATTTAGCCAAGTGGCAAATTATTAGAAAGCCAAGTGGCAACATATTAAAATGACACATGGCAACTTAATTTATTAAGACTTATTGTTATTAAAATGCAAGTTTTAACACCCACATTTTTTGGCATAATTGACTGTTGAAGATAATGGCCATAATCCCAATCTATACGTATGACAAAACCTTGCAATTATATACCTATAGTTAAATATTAATTAACTATTATTAAATATAGAGATAATTTGGACTGATTATATTTGGGATTGCAATTAGGCCGAAAATATTATTAAATATAGAGATAATTTGGACTGATTATTTTAAATATTAATTAAAACCTCGCAATTATGCCGAAAAATCTGGACTGATTATATT